TGCAACAGAACAAAAACAAAAAACTGCAAATACATGTTCTGGTTTAGCTCAAACTAGTTGAAAGTTTATAGATGAGTTTGATTTTGGATGATTTACATGCTACTGACTGGGGACAGGCTCACATAGGTAAGAAGTGAATATAGGAAACTTATTAAGCACAAAAGGTCAAAGTACCAGAGGTCACAGTAAACATGTGTCTTCAACAATGTAGCCATAATCACACTTAATCTTTAATGGAATATAGTGGGCAGAATAGCACTGATGTCTCAGTACTGCAGCTGCAATCAACACCTTTGTCTATAGATGTTCAAGATCGGCCTGTTTTTCAGTGTAGTCCTGTTTCTCTGACTGTGACTGGCTGGATGTGCTCCTTTCATCCTCTGAGATGGGAGTTGCTCGTCTGCCTGGCTGTGTGTGTCCTGGACGGGGCCACCTTTTACAGCTGCCTTTTCTATCTCTGCTTCTGTCTCCTTGAACCCCAGTCGGCCTCAGCAGATGGCCGCTCACACTGAGTCTGGTTCTACTGGACGTTTCTTCCTGTTAAAAGGCAGTTTTTCCTCTCCACTGTCGCTATAAGCATGCTTAGTATGAGGGATTGCCTTCGAGTCAATGAGTCGATGTAATCAACTGGTTTTCCTTAGATAGAAATATTTGAATCAATTTGACAATAATCTGGTGAACTGTAAAGTGCCGTGAGATGACATGTGTTGTGAATTGGCGTTGTGGAAATAACTGAATTGAAGTCATGTCTGGTTAAACATGAACAGTAAAATGTGATGGTTGTTTTATTACAAACCAACTAAATTCTTTCCAGGGTTGTTCTAAGGAAGGTTACTTAGTTAAAGCAGCTTTAAAATTTCTGCCCATGACTATGGATGTCAAGACTGTGCTAAGTTGAGAGTAAGACAATACAATGTTTCCTTTTTCAAAGACATTTTAGATTTTACTCTGCCCCATTCCAGACTTTTAAACCTTAGATTTGCTTGGAAATGATTTACAAAATGTAAAGCATTTTTTTTTTACTTTAGTGAATATATTGTAATCCACCAAAATGAAACACCACTGCAGGCTAATAAGCAACTAATTAAAAAGTAAAAGCAAATAATCCCTCAAAGTAGAAGACTTTAAGATGCCAAAACATCCTTTAGAGACTTTTCTTCCTAATGGCTGTGTGCAGGAAACACAGGGGCTGTGTTAAAGTCAGAAACTCCAGGGACCCTAATACTGCTTCCATACCTAGCTGTACAAAGCTTCACTTATATTACAGAATCCAAAGACACATTGACTCTATTCTCTTCTTAAAACAGCAACATTTTCCATATACTATACATTTTTAGATATTGTGAAGTTAAAACCACAAACCTTTAATTTGGGACTTCATAGGATAAGCAACCAATAATCGAACACCTGAAAGTGAAGTAGGTGCAACAGTGTTTTTAACATTTTCAATAGAAGCATTTTGGTGTGCTTTCCCATTCAGCTAGCCTCTATTCTGATTAATCAAAAACAATTCACTACAACAATTGTATACTACAGTCTGAAATCAATTCATTGGTACAGAGTCCATCTTTGTGATCTAATTGCATACGAAATAAGCTACTATGTAAAGGCCTCAGAGGTTATATAGAGAACATTTAGCAAACATCATCAGACAGACCAAGGAATACTGCAGACAGATTAGAGAGAAAGTTGTAGCGTAATTTAAGGCACAAATGGATTATTGACATCCAAAAAAAGATTCAAACCAACATCTTAAAGAAATTTAGAGGATGAAATATATTCCGTTAATGGACAAAAGCAAAGCGGGATCTCACTAATTGTGCAAAATGAACGTGAAACAAAAAAATTGCAAGTTTTATTTGCGTTTGCACAGCTGACATTTTGCCAGAAGGAGGACAGCAGTAAGCTAACCCTAAAGCCCAGCATACACTGTGCGATTTTCGGGGCGAAATACAGTCGTGCGAGAATTTTCCGATTGGGCCAACTTTCAGCCTGATTGTGCATCATGAGTCGCCTAGTGTACAGGGGGTAACAAGGGCCGATCAGCCTCTCACGACCACCTCCTGATCGATTTGTGGGCAAATCGCTCAGGGCACATGCGCAAACAAGGATTCTTCTTTTTATTCCTCCTCTCAGATGTAAACACAGCAGCATGGCAGGGATGTAATGAGTGAAATGCAGCTCCGTCTGCAAAACTGACAGACTGCAGCAGCCACGCCTGCTAAGCCATGTCCTTTTTCCAAAGACGTCGTCGCCCTTTCTTTCTAGGACCCTCAGCAGAAAATTGCACAAATTACCAAGGCAGCTTGGTTCACTATAGTGAGCTTAATACCCCCCCTTCTACTTGTACGCCCCGTGTACGCCGGGCTTACGCGATGAAAATGAACAGTCCTTTTAGAACTAAATTAAAACTACTTTTTTTAAAATCACCAAAAAAGAGATTTCCCTATTTCATCCTTTGTCTACATTATGTTCTCTATCTTGATTTTGAATAAAAAAGCTGGTCTGTGCAGCGCTCCTTCTCCATATGTCACAAACACATCTCGTTTGACCCTAACCCTTTTTTTTTTTTTCTCACTTTCCTTTATGGGCCCTTGGTTGGTCCTTGGCTGGTCCCCTACAATTCCCTTTGAAACATTGATCTTTGTACTAAAATATTCTTTCTGTCATGATTTGTGGACATTAATATCTAAAGAGAAGCATCATCTCCTGGTCAGACCCTTTCATTCAGTGACTAAAGTTGGAGGGGATTTTGCTGAGAGTTGCAGAGAAGTGGGCTGTCTTTCTGCCAGCTTCTGACTGGGAAGGGCCATGTTGAACTACTGTATGCAGGTGCAGAGGCTCTCGCTCCACTGTTTTTGCCAAGAATATGATTTTCTTCTTCTTAAAATTGTGACCTTAAAATTGTGCCTTGCAGCACTCTGGATAGAGATAAAGTGTATAAATCATTCACTCAGGGCACGAAATATGTGTTGAGTGGGAACACACCCTAAGACATGTCTATCCATCTAAACTACAGACAAGGAGGACATTAATGGGGAAAGCAATGAGGATGTTTCTCATTGCTCTGGAGGTGCTGCAGAGATCTGCAGCTTAGGTGGGAAAATCTGCCAACAGGTCTTCCATAAATATTATGACTAAAAGCAAGGCTTTGTTGAACCAAAGTCATAAGATGAACTGTTTGCAGGTTGTTGCAAAACATTAATAACATTCGGCAAAAACAAAATTTTGGTGAGTTAAATTTCTTATGGGACTGAAAACTAATCCTAAATAACCGTGAAAACATTATTCCTGATTTTATACATGGTGTTGGCAGCATCATGCTCTGGGTGAAGATAATTGGTTCAAAATATAGGAGGAAAAACAGTAACCTGAGACTGGAACACTGGTTTATAATCCTTAATTTGATGTATTATGTTGGCCTAGTGGTTAGTGCTGTGTATTTGTGCTCTGAGAAGGTTGCAAGTACCTGGTTTGATCCCCACGGCCTCCACTCTGGGTTCCTCAGCAAGGCGCGACACTGCTCCCTGGGCGCAACACAATGGCAGCCCACTCCTCCCAAAGGGGATGGGTATAAATGCAGAGAGTATACATTTCCCCATGGTGACTCAATAAAGGGATTTACACAACATAGCAGCATTTAGAACAATAAATCTTAACCTTAGTACATGAAAACATAATAAAACACAAAATCTAGAGCTATAACAACATGTAATTTAGCAAGGCACTGTTTGATACTCTGAAGTATCAAAAGAAGTATCTCACAGAAACCTGCTATTTTGTTCACCATTAGCCCTCAGAGATAAACAGCTCCACTGAATCATTGCTGTAGCTCAACTTGACTGTTTTTCCTTCCAGCCTGAACTATCACCATCCTGTCATGGACAAACCGTTTATGTCACATGTTACTTGTCGAAGGCTACCATCGAAGATTCATACCGCTGATTTCTCTGAAGTTGTCCCTGAACCAAACATTGTGACATGCTTGAGTGAGCAGAACAGCAACTTCCCATGGCAACAGAAAACAGAGGAAGACATGGGAGGAGAGAAAAAAAGACAATTAAGAGTGATTTAGGCCTCTCTGTATGAAAGAGGAGAATGTGGTGTTTTCCATAAAATCTTAGGGTCATTAAACCGACAGGGTTCTAAGGTGGGAGATCCGTGTTGTTAAGGGAAGGAAAGAAGGAAGGAAAGAAGGAAGGAAGGAAGGAAGGAATGCCTGGGTTGAATGGTTTGTGTGGCGCCAGACAGTCGGCCCAGCGGTGCTGCACAGTGAGTGACTGGGGGTCGGTGGTGGTGGGGGGGTCAGAGGAATGCAGGAGCACAATAACAGAGATGGGGAGTGACAGTGGAAGCTTCAAGTCCGAATATTTGTTTGATTTAATTAGATGCAGTTTCACAGAAATCCCAAGAAAACGCTCCTCAGTGGTGAGAACTTCTTCCTCTTTCAATGTTTGCTATTCAGTCTGACTGAAGATGCTAGAATATAAAATCTATCATTTGAATTTCAGTAAAATAAAAATTAAAAAATATATAAAACTGAACTTTTTCTATATTTTTCACCTTTGAATAATTTATTTTCTGTTTATTTTCACACTGAATGGTTTTTCCTTGCAGTGAGCAGAAAGGCAGGTGTTTGGCATCGCCAGCGTTCCTGGGATCAATGCGAACGTGGCGCTGCGTAATTACGCATCAATAGAAAAGGCAGTAAAGCTGTTCACCTCAGGCTCGGTGTTTGGGAAGGCTGGATGAATAGCAGAGTTCCTTTGGACAAAGTCTGGAGCTACTTCCTTTCTCTAAGACGATTTTGGCTTCATCAGAATCCAACCAACTCATCTTCTCTGTGTTGGATCTGTCTTTTCTTTTTTATCCCCCCCTCTCTCCCTCTCTCTCTCACCCACCTCCCGCAGATCGCAGCCCACCGCATCGCGCAGAGAGACACGCCTTTTTCTCGGCTCCGCTGTGGGGTCGGTGGGCAGCGGGCTGCCGGTGATTGAGCAGCTTTCCTCCCTGATCTGTCAGCCTGCTGCCTTGGCGCCTCCCCTCTCCTCTATAAATGAACCAAGTCTTTTCATTGCGCTCACAGCGCGCCTGCTGAACTGAGAGGAACTGGCAGCTCCTCGGGATGCGTTAACAGAGCAGAATTTCTCCTCAGCTTTGCTTTCCTCTCCTCTCTCCATCTCCGCACTATTAACTCAAACGGCTTCTGTTAGATTTTTTTTTGGTTGCTGTTTTATTATTGCTGCCTCCGTCGGTTATCGAAGATGAAGGCTGTTACTCCAGTCCACCCCCAGGACTCCTCCTCCTCCTCCTCCTCCTCTTCCTCCTCCTCCTCCTCCAGCCAGCTCTCCCTGCACTATCTGTCGAAACAGAGCCTGAACATCTCCCGGTGCAGGATGGAAGAGGAGGACCTGTTCTGCCTGCAGTACGACATGAACGACTGCTACAGCCGCCTGAAGCGCCTGGTGCCCACCATTCCGCAGGATAAGAAAGTGAGCAAAGTGGAGATCCTCCAGCATGTTATAGACTACATCCTGGACCTGCAGCTGGCCCTGGAGACGCACCCTTCCCTTCAGAAGCAGCAGCCACAGCGGAGCTGTCCGCCTGTAGCCTCCAACCCCAACAGGACGCCGCTGACGGTGCTCAACATTGACCATCACCAGGTAAGGGTTAGGCCAGGGGGGGTGGGGGGGTCCTGGTTTACCTCCGTGTGTCAGACCGCCGTCCGCCTCAGACAAAGCGCGTCATCCCGTTATATGTCATTGTCCTTCCAGTGCTGCACCAATAGGCCGTCTTTTATCATTTGTAAGGCATAAAATAAATGGCCTTTAACGTGCGGCTGCGGGTTGAACACTTGATTGCGGCTTTTTGATTTGCATGATAATGACGGTGTGTCAGGGGCCCACCTTATCCCGGGATCCGTGGAGTGGCTCAGCCTGCAGTCCACTCCAGTGCGCACAATAGGGCCAATTTGTCATTCAATAGCCTAGAAGAGAATCTATTCTGGCTGAGATAGCTGGTTAATACCAGACTCAACCAAAAATCATGTTGTTTGGTTTTTTTTACTCTTGTCCTGATAAACTCTGTGTTTTACATGTTTTTTGTTTTTCTTTTTCCAGAGGACAACAATGGTGAAAAAACCAGAAGATTCACTTTTATGCCGTTGAGACATCAATGCTGCATTTGGTAAGTTGACTTCAATAATATTACAATGGGAATATTAACATTTGTTTCTGTGAGTTCAATTCAATTTATTAGATTTATTTTTACCACAATTCATAAAAAAATATAATAATCTGGGCCTAATAAATCAGGATTACTGTTAGTTTCTACTTTAAATCGATGGCAGTCGTGTAAATGGTGTAAAGATGTAAGTGAAGCCAGGAGATGTCAGGTAAAATAATAATTTTTAAACATTTAAATTGGCCCCAGCTTCAGAGGCAGCTGTGCTTTGCGCAATAACTGTCACTGGTGTAGCAATCTGAGAAGAGCAGTGGGTTAAAACCTCAGCTTGCCCTCTCTTTCATTCTCTCTCACACACAAACACACTCTGTGTCTCATTCCTCCTGATTTTTTTGTATTTTTTTTCTCTGCATCCCAGTTCCATTCCAGATACGGGGCTGGTTTTAGAGACAGCTTTTTTAGCCGTCAATCTAGATACACATTGGTAGAAGTCTTTCAGTATTCCTGAGAGCTTTTTGGCTGCCTGTCGCCTGTGTTACCCAACAGCCAGAGGAGCGCTGTGGTTGTTGTTTGACCTGGTTTGTTTTGGGTTGTTGATCAAGCATGGACTCTGTTTTGTCGGTGGCGCCAGTCAGTCTGGAGTTCTGCAGCTCACCCTCCCTCCCTTTGCCTCTATTCATCCCCTCCACAGGTGTGCAGGCAGCGCAGAGCCGCTCCAAAAGTCAGCGAAGCTTCGCCAGGAACTCACACCCAACTGAAGGCACAGTCACAAGGGGGGTTTGCAAAAACCAATGGGAGAAACTAAACCGAAATAAAGTCTTTTTATTTTTATCAGATTTTTCCCTCCACATGTTTTGAAATTATTATTTTTGATTCTGAGGAAAAATGGACTCATCCTTCTGGCTGTTTTAATTTCCTTAGTCAGTTTCTTCTTTAAATTGTGAAAGCATCCAATCCTCTCACAGGTTTTTTTTTGTTGTTGTTGTTTTTTGGACACTAATTTACAGCAGCAATGAAAACGGATTGTGAATTGTGCTCCAGTTTAAAGCTTTACTACACTGCAAAAAGAAAAAAAAAATCATTGTATATGTTTTGCACATCTATTGTTTAAAATAGATGATTTGTGTTTGAAAAGGGACGCTGTCCCTGGTACTTTGTAAAGAAGAACAATTCCGATTCGAGACAATTAAGCTTGTAAATACAGAGACACAAATGTTCTATTAAGGTATGTGAAAGGACTTATATGCTTAAATAGACTATTGTAATTATTCTAAGATATTTTTTATTGAAAACCTTGTTGTTTTTTTGCAGTTCTGTAAATATGGTGTTTCCACTTTACTGAATGAACTTGTTTATGCTCTGCCAATAATGTCCTCACATGATGATATCATTAAACTCTTTGCAGTGTTTGAAATAGTTTGAAATGTAGCATGTCAGGCTCATCCCAGAGATGCTGAATGTGCACTGAAGCGGCCGCTACTGCTGTGTCCATGCAACCTTATTTGGCTTCTCCCCTGAAATATTTTCTTTTTTTTCACCCCTGAGTTCCCCTCAAAAAAAATAAGTGTCTTAAAATTGATTTGATTCCGCACACAAATAATTTCCCTACAAAGCACTGCTGTGAGGGGAAAACCACCATCATCTCTGAGTTTTTCCTTAGGAAAACGATTATTGGAAAACGATTCAACTTTTCTGTTAATTGGTAAAACATTTCAACAAACAGTCGATGTGTTTCGGTTGAGATGATTGTCCTGCTGGTGTGTCGGCAGCCTTTATTAGTATAAACTTGGATGAGATTCAGCACTGAATTTACCTCACCACCCTCTGCCATTGCTAGAGGGAACTTGTACGTTACGGTCTACTGCACTGTTGGACTTGACCACTGGCTTCAGAGGAGTTGTCGTAACCATTAAAATTTCCCAGAAGAACTGTGTTGTGTCATGTTTTGTCCTCATCGGGCATCTTAAGGTGGATTGGTGATTACTTTCAGTTTTTCACCAAGCATTCAGAGAAGGCCAGTTTTTTTGTCAACATGTTGCTCCAACACGATCTTTGATTAAAAACACCCCAAACTTTACTGGTTTTAGAGATTCAGCTTATTATTTTCTCATTTCTCCTTTAGTTCTTCTGCACACGTTCGGTGCTAAAAACAAGATGGCAGAAAGCCAGGTCCTGATCTTCTCACTCCTCCTTTACCAGCCTCTGATGTGTTTGTGAGCCTGAGTGTTTATGGCAGTAAAGTCCTAAAAAGTTATTGTTTCAAAAGATATGTCAGCTAACTGCTCCTGTCCTATAAATAAAATCCTAACGAAATAAAATGTTTAGTTTTATCAAAACTGGCTAATTGTGCAAAAATTAGTCAGAAAAAATGATTCTAGATCATAATTCATAATATCTTTTATAAGCCAACTGTGTAGAGCAGAGAGTGGCACATTATTGCCCTTCCCCCGCCTATTGTTGCCAGTCAGCTGGATGGAAAAACTCCCCCCCTGCTTTATACTGTTGGAAGGACACATTTGGAAATTTTTTTGATTGGATGAAAAAAAGTCATCCTTTACTTATTTTTAGGTTCGGCTGAATAAATAACCAGATTTCCTCTAAAAAAGCACAATTAATATAAGTCTTAACGTGATTTGTGAGCATGGCTAATTTAGTAGCAGGTATATTCTATATTTTTTTTTTTTATTAAACCTGTTAATCGGAATAATATTAACATAAAAATGTTTACAATAAAAAGCAAATAATTCCAGATAATTTTCTAACTAACTAATAAATAGGCATTTCTTTCAGAAGCAGTGTATCTGTGTAAGTAAATTAAATATTCTTATGTATTTTTCTGTATTTGCTCACCCTGGTTAAAATCCTGTTAGTTTCTGTCTTTACTTTGCTCACTTCAGTTTCTTCCAACTTTCATCAAATGCCTTTGAAATAAACATGTATATAGAGTCTATATAATTCATGATGGGAATATTGAGTTCTCTTCCGTTAAATAGAAATAAATCCGACCTCTGTTTCTTAAAGCAAATATTCACACAGTTCACTGTTTATTTTATTTTTTGACTCATAAAAAACGTTTGTTTTAATCTGTTTTCGGTCCGTAACAGATTTTCATTCTAGCATCCAGCAAAAAGATTCAATGAGCTCGAATTTTTGTTTCGTATAAAACTGAAATCTTTGCAACTATATCAGATAATTTATGAATTTTTATTTTAAATGACTTTTTTCTTTTAGAAAAAAAGAATGCAGTTTCTGTTGGGATGCAGCAATATTTTATTAGATATTTCCAAGCTAACCTGAGATAGCAGCTAATTCGTTCTCGTTCTCTTGCTGTGTGATTTTTAAGGGAGTGAAGAGAAAAAAGCAACATGAACAATAGTAAAGAGAAAGGGCTGCGATTGTTTTAATTAAAAAAAAAAAGCAATGGATGCCTGCTGAGGTTTTGGTATTAAAAGCATGGAAGCCGTACCTCAGGCCTTTGTGCTTGTTAGAATGAGCCGGAGCTTTTTCTGTTTTAGGTGTGAAATTGTCTCAACTTTAAGGCTGGTGAGCGTTCATGCTTTCAAGCATTTGGGAGATAGGGAGTCTATTTTTTTTACTTATTCCTTTTTTTTTTCCAATGTATTTATCCAACAATATTTAGCTATTATTTATTTAGAATATTTAGTTCCTCTCTTTTTTTCTCCCACACCAAGCTGCACAGGTTTTTCTTGCAGACGGAGCCCCACATCAACATGCTGAATGCGGGTTAAAAGGGCTGCTTGACACCAACGAGCTTGGTGACCGATTCCCACTGTGGGTGCTCCAGGCAGCTTTCAGAATCCCATTTCCACTGTGGCCAGCTGGGGAAAGCAGGCCATACAGGCCACCTGTGTGTGTGTGTTGGCGTGTGTGTGTTTACAGCCCACAGAAAGGGAAGCTGGCCTTGATGCCCTTGACAAGCACTGTCCTTGTGATGTGAAATGTGAGTGTGCGGCTGTCTGCTTGTGAGTGATAAAAGGTTAAAAAAGTGTGTTAAAGCACAGGTGGCCAGCTTGACAGTTAGACCTTCCTGATATGATTAAAGATATTCTGGTTTTCACAGAGGCCTAACAGTTCAACCTACGGCATGACTGTGCTCTTACTGACTGCATCACCATTTCATTTCACAGGAAATGTGTTGTTAAGGGACACAAGGGTTACAGCTGACAGTCACCACACCTGAAGCCAAGGCTTTCTTTTATAGAGCGTTATTTTCACAATAGGACTTGTTGGAAATCTGCCTAAAGAAATGTATATTTTTTATCATACGGGACAAATTTGCTCAGAACATACATCGATGCTTCTCTACTTGAGCAACCAACGGAAATTCCTTCTACCTAAATGTCAGAAATGTTGATTGAAAAAGGTTTTTAACAAAATCCCAAAAACAAACGATGCTATGTCTAATTCTGTTCTTCTTCTGCATCTAAACCTGCAGCCCAAGGCATTAGCGAATAAAATCACTGCTTAGCGACGCCATGGCAACAATGGACCTGTAATAATATAAAATTGAAAAGATTCACAATTTGTTCAATATTTCAAGCTAATTTTTACAAAATAACATTTTTTTTTTTACATTTCTGAACGATTGATGAGGGCCTGTGTGCAAAAATCTGAGGTTTGTTTCTCATAGATTTTGATCTTTTAGTGGAATGTTTTAATCTTATTTTTAGCACATACAAAGTCATGTGCAGTTCAATTAAATGAAATGTTAATACAACAATAGGGAAAAGAAAATATTTTGGAAAAATAAATTTAAATCTTAAAGAGAAAATCCTCCATAACTATCATTAGAAAGAGAAAATGTTTCACCAAAGAATAGAAACCGGTTCTGGGCAAAGTCTCAACATTTTCAGCGGCCCGTACATCAACAGGTAAACCGTTCCAACTACTTCTGTAATTTAATTTGTTTTAATTTGTTGCACCTGAGCTCATTGTCATATTTCTTTTCTAGTTCTGTTTTAAAAAAGCTAATAATCCACAAAAGTAACAGATTACTTTTCCACAAGTGATTTTTTAGCGATGCAAATGTTCGCTCCATCCTGCTTTGAATGACTCTGTGATGAAATATTGTATTTTTTTAATTAAAGTCCAAAGAAAACAAAATCTGAATAAATTTTTTTTCTATGCTATTTGTTTAATGAGTAAGTCACATTAATTGGCTTGTTTAATTTTAAGATGTTCTCAACTGTAAAACAGGTTTTATTTCTGAAACAAACAAGCAGGTTGCTGCTGTGGCAGTTGCTGTTTCCAAATCGAATTCCTTAAGGGCCCCATTTAACCAGCCCTGTTTACTGACAAAAGCTCTCTAAAATATTTCAGCAAGACTTAAGATAAACTCGTGTATCTTTTAGAAGCTTCTTCATTGTTGTGTTGCAGTTTTTCCTTACTGAAATAATTACCTGCAGCCTTCTCCTCCTCGTGTGTGGGCTCTTGGCTTCAGATCGTGGGAAACCATCACATCCTGTTTGATAAGAGTGTCCAAACTAAACTGGTCGGCCTACTTTCCATCCTTGATAGAGGGAGTAGACAGGCCGGCCCCACGATCAGTCAATCGGAAATGTCATTGTGAGCACAGTATTATTACTAACAAAACAAGAGGACTAGTGGAGCCAGTTGTTTGCACAGGTGTGAGTATGCACACTCTCATTCTCTTATATATGCATCACTCATGTTTTTTTTTTTTCTTTTATAGCTTTGCTTCATAACAAAATAATAAAAAAAATCCATAAGAGTTCCTGAATAAATCAGATGTGCTCATTAACCACCTCCTCCTCCTCTTCTGGACTGGAACCACCAAGAGGAAGAAAAGCAAATCAGCTGTTTTCTTTGCAGAAACAGAAACACCCAGCCTCTAATTTCACAAATTTAACACAAACACATAAAGCGAGGATGCTCGCTATCGTCTCTGCCTTAAATTAACCTTCCGCATATGTTAAACTGCAATAACAGGTTTAGCCACGGTGTCTCGCCTCCTTCTCTCCCTGATTTAACTCCACATTACAGCGTTCCACGGGGGCCTATATCCCTGCGTGTTAATCACTGCTCTTCCCTGCACAGAGAAATATATGGCGGGTGCTTGCAGAGGAACAGTAGAGGACAGAAACGTGCTCGCTCTTGGACACTACTTGATTACAGACTAATTGGTCTAGAGTGATTAAATATCTCATGCTACTCTCTAATTGCAGCTATTTAAAGCAGCTATTAGCTTAAAATCTCTGCCACCAACAGCCGTTTACTCATAAACAAAATGGGAGAAGCAGCAATTTAACCTGTACCTTTAGATTTAAGTACAGAGCTCTGTGCAGGCGGCAGACTTCACAGTGGAACAGAAATGTTAAAGCTCAATTTTTTTCCCACATTAAAAGAGAGAAACTGAAGAAATGAGGCAACATTTTAAACTCAATCAAGATGTGTTGATCTTTTTATTCCTGGATGATCACAGTTATATTAATCTGTGAAAATTATTCAACACATTATAGATGTATTTTGAATTTGCTTTTTAGTCACATTAAACTGTTTTAGGCCTTCAGACAAATTTTGATAACAAACAAAAATAAAAATGCAGCAAGCGGTTTGGATATTATTATTTTATTTATTAAGGGGAAAATGGCATCCAAACCTGCATGGCTAGTTGAAAAAAAACAACAACTAATGTTTTAGATAAATGCACTTTTATTACTAGTTTATTTGTTTGTTGTTGTTCTTTAGGTTACTCTAATAATCCACATGCAGATATGATGAATGCTAAATGTGTAGAGTCAGGAGAGTCACTTCAATAGAACCCATCTGACAGCAAGAAGTTTCCCAAAATGAATCACAAAGCCACATTTAAGGCATTTATCTAAAGAAGTTTAAAAACAGACATGAAACAAGTCTGTAACATCAATCTGTGTGGAGCAGGTTTCAA